AAAACCTCATCTTCTCAAAAAACCTGCAGTTGCTGCCACTTTAACAAAACCCCCAGAAAACACATTTGTTGCAAAATCCTCTTTATTTACTTCCACAATCCAACTCACCCAATCCCCTCGCACTGAATGGTCACTTAAACCCACCTACCAGAATATTATTACCATCGAAAAGAGGTTTGATTCCCCTGACCCTTTTGAGACAGCCAAAGAACTTTTTGGAGAAAACAACTTCTACAAACTTTTCGACCATGGAAAAACTATTCTCTACTACCAATCAATCCTCGAAGACACGGCCTCTGTAGTTATTAAACATGAAACCTCAAAGACAAACCCCTCCGAAATTCTTTACTCCCAGTGCAAAGTTTTCCGAGTTATCTCTCTATCTGACTGGTATGGTCTACCACTTAATCTTTTTTAGTATTCCAAAGTTCTTACTTCTTAATCTTTGTAAGTCTATATGTCTTAATCAATTTAGTCTATGTACAAACCATAAGTTTGTCCAAGCTGTGCAAGTCTAAGTCTGTTCATTTAAGAATGTCATTATGATAAATCATCAGTTTATTCAAAAGATGTCAACCCGAGTCTATTAAAAATACGACTGAAAAGCTTATGACAAGACCGCTTGGGTTCTCCATAAAAATATTGATTTCCTTCCCCTGTGGACTGGCAAGGCCAGACCACTAACAAAATTTTAACAACTTAACATCCCTTCTCCTACGGACTGGCAAGATCAGACCATTAACACTAATTTTTTCTTTCATCTAATCTTACGTACTTTACATTCTTTTCCGTCCTTTCATCTAATAATACTAAAAATTATTATTATTATTATTATTATTATTATTATTATTATTATTATTATTGTTGTTGTTGTTGTTGTTGTTATATTTTCTAATTTATTTAGTTTTGATTATTATATTTTAATATTTTTTATTTTATAGATTACAAAATTATAATGTAAAAATATAATATTATATGGGTTTTAGACTAGTATCCAAAAACATAAAATAAACATTCATAATTTTTTTATATAAATTAATTATTTTTTTTATTCAAAAATTTTTAAAATTATAATAACGCATGATATATATATATATAAAATTGTTCGACCAACAATATCTTTTCGACACAATTTGTAATTGTTGAGCACAAAAAAATGATGATAGGTTTTTAAGGAATGGGCCTGCCAAGATTAGGTTAAAATTTATTCGAAACGTCTAGTGGGCTTTTTGAAAGTCCAAGTATGATTACAATAACCGGGTCGGATGAGTTTAGGGTCAGATGTTAAGGTTAAACCTGGTTGGGTTAATCCTAAAGGTCGGACGGATGATGAGATTGGACCTGGTCGGGACCAAACAGTTCGGATATCGAAGTCGGACCTAATCAGGACAAATTCCAAGGGTCGGGTGTAAGAAAGTCGAACGAATGATATTGGACCTGGTCGGGACTAAATAGTTTGGATAGTGAAGTCGGACCTAGTCGGGACAAATTCCAAGGGTTGGGTGTAAGAAGGTCGGACATTGAAGTCGGACCAAGTTCAAAGGTCAGGTAGTAAAAGTAGCTATCCTGCAGGTCGGGTGAAAAAGCAGTTTCTGATAGTGGAGGGTAGTTTCAACTGGCGAACGGTTTTCAAAGGTCGGACGTGGTAGGACGGTTCTCATATGTGTCGATAGAAAAGAATTTTTTGGGGAATTAACAGCGGTTATGGTAACCGACCGGATAGCGGTTCGAACCGTATCTTCAAGGGGTTATTTAAAGATTCCGTGCTGTACAGAGGAGGGATCTTCAATTGACATCAAATTCAAGAAAATTGTTTTTGGGGATCACCACTTTATTTTCCGGTCTTTATTTTTATCTTTTCCTTATTTTATGTTATGTATTCTACAGTGTTTAGAGATCTCTAATCTCAGACACTCATCTATCAAATTCGGGGATATTTCTCTATTTTCGAATTTTACTTTTTATTGTTGAAAAACACATCAACAATTTTGGCGACCACAGTGGGAGTCGAGGCAAGATTGCTGATCCTACGTCAACGGAGAGTTTCATACGATTGAGATCCGGCCTACCGACCTCAGAGGGGAAAGATTGGGAGGCCAGGCTCACAATCCCATTCAGGTATTGGATCCTATCCCACCCAGAGTAGACCCAGAGGACATTGCTCAGGTCTTGAGGGTACATTTTGGAATGAACTCCCAGACGGTCAACAGACCTGCGTACCAGAGGCCATTTCCAGAAAGAATCATCAATGAGCATCCGCTTCCAAGGAATTGCAGACCACCCGATTTTCATTCATTTTCTGGAGAAGATGGGGCATCGACTATAGAGCATGTGGGACGTTTCACGGCCCAATTAGGGGAAGTAGGCAATAATTCTTTCTATAAATTACAATTGTTCGGGTTATCACTTACAAGGACCGTTTTTTCATGGTTTGCAAATTTGCCACCCGGGCAGTTGCAAACCTGGGAAAGTCTGGAGGCAGCATTCCATGCAAGATTTTTTAATCCTCTCCCAACAGTCTCACTCACAGATCTTTTAGAGATCCGACAGATGCCAGAAGAGACCGCGTATCAGTTTATTGAACGGATACGACTCATGAAAGGCAGATGCCCGACAATCATCGAGGAAAGTGAAATGACTAATTTGGTGGTCAGAAACATGCATTCCAGACTTCGGGAGGCATTGACAGCCCATGATGTTCAGGACTTGGCTAGTTTGGCCTCCAAAGCAGGGAGATTAGAATCTTTGTTTACATAAAGAGATCACAACTTTTGTCGGAACAGGGTACAACAAATGGCTAGTGTTGATACAGAGATTTATTCGCCAGAATAAGGAAATATTCTTGAAGAGATGGCAGCCGAAATTGTGAATGGCAAACCGTACGTATGTTCGAAACTAAAGCCATTGCCCGGAACAGAGGAGAGGGAGCAGCCGACTTTCGATGTATCCAAGGCCGACGAGATCTTCGACATTCTATTGGCAGATGGGCAGATTCGCATTCCTAAAGGGCAAAGTTTGGCAACGAAGGAGGAAATAAAGGAAAGGCCATACTGTAAGTGGCATAATTCCTTTACTCATTACATTAATCAATGCACACATTTCCGAAAGGAAATACAGAAGGCTATCAAAGCAGGGAGATTCAAATATGTAACAATGGGAGTAGAGCATCAGCCCTTCCCAAAAGTAACTACTGCAATGATCTCTTTGCGGTCTTCACAAGTTGTGCAAAGTGATGATGAAGAAGACATCAGAAGAAAAGAACGCAAGCCTAAAGAACGGGAATCCAATCAGGAAGTGAAGTTCAAAGTTTGCGAAACTAAAGTGGCAGAGAAATGGGATAAAGAAGATGGGTCGTTCAAAGTAGAATTGAAAGATAAAGTTGTGGTACGGGACCGACCAACACGCAAACCACATCCAGTCCAAGAGAAATGGAGCCGAAACAGAAAGCCTCTGCCAATAGACATAGACCCTCGATTTCCAAGTATGAATTGCACACAAATCCGTAATGCTAAACGCAGGTATCCAGCGCAGCATGGAAAACAAACAGATAAGGGTAAGGAGAAGAAAGAATCATCACCTAACAGGAAGGACTTGAATGACGAAACAGAGGAGCAAGGGGAGAACAGCAAGCCTATCAAGAAGGCCAGATGTTTTCGATGTCAATTCTGCAAACGGATCAATATTGATCCTGAAATAGAAAGTGGAGAGGAAGAGACCCCCGAGATCATTTTCGGATCATTTGCCCCAGAATAGATGAAAGTTTTGTGCATCAAGATAGTAAAACTTGATAAAGCAGGATTCGAAGTCAGGATGACGGATATGCGATGGTTCGTCGAAGAAGAACCCATTTGGGCAAAGTTCGAGGAGAAGGAAGAACCAGAATGGGAAGCAATGGTTGGCAGACCCCCACCTATGGTTTTTCCACCTATACCAAAAAGAGAAATCCCGCATTTAAAACCACTCTATGTTAACGCTCACATATGTGGTAAGCCGGTTAACAAGGTTTTTATCGATAATGGGGCTGTTTTCAATGTCATGCCCCTCAAAACTTTAAGAAAATTGGGCAAAGAGATTGGTGATTTGTCTCCGGTAGACATCGAGATGACAAGCTTCACACGACAACCGACCAAGCCAGAAGGGATGATGGTGGCACCCATTGAGGTTGGACCGAAGGTGATTTCGACTGTGTTTTTTGTTGTGGATGCCAATACTACCTACTCAGTTTTGTTGGGGCGAGATTGGATTCATGCTTCCAAATGTGTGCCTTCTTCTCTCCATCAACAAATTATATTTTGGGAAGGAGATCAGGTTTTCACCATGGAAGCCAGTACGAATCCGTTCGGCTCTACAGAAGGAGTGGAAGAATCGGTTCTTTATACGGAATACGTACCACCGATTTCACAAGCAACCATGGTAGATGGGTATCCCTGGAAGGGCTGTAAGCTCACTACGCAGGGTTGCATATTTCATTAGAAACAATTTTCTGTTTTATGGCTCTGTTGTTAGCCAAAATAAACTTTTACTTGAAGTTAATTTATGGAAGAAATAAATAAATGTGATAAACTGATTAGACAGTTCTATTTAAACCAATTAATGGTTAGATTGCATAATAATAAAATCTTCAACAATAATGTTGGCGAAGAAGAAGGTTTTCGCTGGCCTGATCTCATGGAAAAGACATAAACTTCTCTGTCAAGTCAGGACCCTCTCATTGAATATAATGTGGGAACCAAACAGATATCCAAGATGGTCAGGGTAAGTGGTTTACTGACAAAAAGTCAACAGGAGCGAATGGTAGCGTTAATTCGAGATCACAAGGAATGTCTGGCATGGGATTATTCCGAAATGCCCGGATTGGCGTGCAGTTTAATAGAACATAGGTTGCCTATTAAAAAGGGGTTTAAGCCTTACAAGCAACCACCAAGGAGAGTGAGTCCAGAATTGATGCCCCAGATCAAAGAAGAAATTGAGAAGCTAGTAAAGGTTGGTTTCATTCGTCCATGTCGATATGCGGAATGGTTAGCCAATATCGTTGCGGTAACCAAAAAAATGGAAAGATCCGAATTTGCATCGACTTCAAAGATCTCAATCTCGCCACTCCAAAAGATGAATATGTCATGCCTATAGCAGACATGTTGATCGATTCTGCGGCGGGACACCGGATTTTGAGTTTAATGGATGGATACGCAGGGTATAACCAAATTTCATTAGCAGAAGAAGATATACCCAAAACTGCATTTAGGTGCCCAGGAGCGTTGGGAATTAATGAATGGATAGTTATGCCATTCGGTTTAAAGAATGCTTGGGCGACTTACCAACGAGCTATGAACACTATCTTTCATGATCTTATTGGGCGGTCAATGGAGGTATATATTGATGATGTGATCATTAAGTTTACTGACTTTGATTCACATTTGGTTGATTTAAAAAATGCTTTTATTCGAATGAAACAGTACAACCTGAAAATGAACCCAACGAAATGTGCCTTTGGAGTTTCGGCAGGGAATTTCTTGGGGTTTTTAGTACATGAAAAAGGAATAGAGATTGACGCGAACAAAGCCAAAGCTGTTCTAACAATGCGGTCGCCTCAGTTGGTCAAACAAGTACAAAGTTTTTTGGAAAAGGTGAATTACCTAAGGCGTTTTATATCAAACGCCGCAGGGAAATTAAAACCTATCACGAAATTATTACGGAATAAGGCCACCGATTTTTCTTGGGGTCGGGACCAACAGAAGGCATTGGAGGAAATCAAGGAGGCCTTGGTTAACCCGCCTGTGTTGGTTCCTCCAAGAGGCGACCGACCTCTTCGGTTATATTTGGCTAACAGTTTTGATGTGGTAAGCAGTCTCTTGGTACAAGAATGGGAAGATGGTAAGGAAAGAGCCATTTATTATTTAAGCAAAACTTTAGCAGGACCTGAGTTGAATTACAGTATGCCCGAAAAAATGTGTTATTCTTTAGTCTTCGCCTGCACTCGGTTGGAACATTATATTCTGCCAAGAGAAACCGAAGTGGTTTCTAAAATGGATTTGGTCAGACTAATGTTGCACAGACCGACCATGCAAGGTAGATTAATGAAGTGGGCTATTAAGCTGGCTCCTTTTGCACTACGCCACCGACCTCTCAAGGCTGTGAAATGGCAAGTTGTGGCTGATTTTTTGGTTGAGTTTACAAGCGATGGGTCATCAGAAAATAAAATAATGCCATATATTGGCACCAGTCCTTGGAAAATATTTTTTGATGGTTCCCGTTTGAAAGGAAAGTCGGGAGCGAGAGTGATACTAGAAGGACCAGGAGGCGGAAAAATTAATTTGCAGCTTCAAATGGAAGATATGACGCATAACTCCGCAGAATATGAAGCACTGATTTTGGGTCTGGAAGCACTTATCGCTAAGGGAGTGCAGTCTGTTCTAATCTATGGGAATTCTCAACTTGTTATCAACCAAGTATTGAAACGGTACGCGTGTAATTTTCCCCATTTGCATAGATACCGAGATGTAGTGCTACACTTGTTATATAGAATCGGGAAAGTAGTTTTTCAGCATGTACCAAGAGTGGAAAATCAGTTGGCTGATAATCTGGCTCAGAGTGCTTGTCAGCAGTTGATTGGCAGTCTCGACTCTGGGACTGATTGGAGAACAGAAATTATGGTACATTTGGAATCTCCAAATTCTACTACTCATGTTCGTGTTCGCTTAAAGGCTTTGCGTTTTCAGCTTATTGATGGGGTTTTATATAAAAGAACCTTTGAAGGGGTTTTGCTGAGGTGTTTGGGACCTGAGGAATCTATTAAAATAATGGAGGAGGTCCATGGAGGAATATGTGGCGCGCATCGGGCAGGTTTAAATATGCGATGGGCCATCCATCGTATGGGATTCTATTGGCCGAAGATTTTTAATGATTGTATCAGATTTGCCAAAGGATGTCAAGAGTGCCAGAAGCATGGTCCTTTACATCATTTGCCAACAGTGGATTTGCAGACAATGGTAAAACCTTGGCCATTCAAAGCTTGGGCGTTGGATGTAATTGGAAAAATTCATCCGGCCTCGTCGAAACAACATTTTTTTATTTTGGTGGTGACTGATTATTTTACCAAATGAGTATAAGCAGTTCCCTTGAAGAATGCGGCGCAGAAAGAAGTGATCGAATTTGTACTCAATCATATCATCTATCGATTTGGAATTCCTCACACTCTCACAACCGATCAAGGGTTGATGTTTACTGGGGAAAAGTTTGTTGAGTTTTTGGCCGAATACAATGTTAAATTACACCATTCTTCACCGTATTATCCACAGGCGAATGGATTGGCCGAAGCAGCAAATAAGATTATTATTGGCATTATCCGGAAAATGGTGGAGGAGAATCCAAGGAAATGGCATACTTTGCTATATCAGGCATTGTGGGCTCATCGAAATAGTAGAAGTACTTCTACTGGATTTTCCCCATACCAATTAACATTCGGGCAAGATGCAGTATTACATGCAGAATTTGTCGTGCCTGCACCCAGGGTGCCCAGTACAACAACCTATATTGATGAGGTGTATTTACAAAAGATGTGGCGACAATTGGAAGAGTTAGATACAGATCGATTGAACGCTTTGGACCAAGTGATTAGGCAGAGTGAGATTAGGGCAAAATGTTACGGAAAGAGGGTGGTCCCTAAGTTCTTTGCAGAAGGCGATCTGGTCTGGAAGACAATTTTGCCGACCTATAAGAAGGTAGATCAATTGGGGAAGTGGTCTCCCAACTGGGAAGGTCCTTTCATTATTCATGAGATAATTGGAAATGGAGCCTTTATTATCATAAATCAAGAGGGAAAAACGGTACATGAGAATATTAATGCTAAGTATCTGAAAAGGTATTACCCTACCTTTTCGGAACTTTGTCATTAATTATTTAAAAAGAAAAAAAAATATCGTAGGGACCCTCTAAAGGGTTCGAACCCATTGGTAAAAGGGTTCTCTAGTCATCAGAAAGATTAATGGTGTCATCCCAGACTGCCGAGATAGAGACCATTTCAGGTTCTTCATCCAGAAGATCATCCAAATCCAAGCGGTAGCGATCCCATTTGTCTTGCATGTCTTGAAGATTTTGTTCAGTTCGGGACTTCATGTCTTGCAAGGACTGAATCTCTCGTTTAGCAAGGACACTCAGTCTGGAGAGCGTTGATCTTTGTGGTTGGAAATCGTTGTTCCAACTAAGGTCTGGGAGAATGGCGGTTACATGATGGTTTATAATGTCTAGATGATGGTCGAGATCCGATATACGTGTGAGTATGTCGGTATAAGGTTCGTAGTTGGTGGATATATGTTCCATCAGTCGGATGGTACGATGAATGGTTCTCCTACCTCTGCCGGAGAATCTGAATTTGAAATCCAGTTGTTTCAGAACCTGTATCATGTCTTCAGCGTGATGGCCTGTGAGGTGCTTTCCCACTAAGAATGGTTGGAGAGCACCTTCCCAGTTGGAAAGAGGAACACGGAGGCGAGGAGAAACCATATTGCATAAAAAGTAATGATGATGATATTTTGAAATTGGAGGTACGGAGTTTATATAGATATTTTGGTTTTTAAGTTAGGTGATTTAGTAATAGGCAATAAACACGGATCTGTGTTTGCTTGTTAGATTTAGTAAAAATGCAGGAAAGAAAGGATCTAGTTTCTAGAAATAGGAATTAATATAGTTAAGGCCGAAGCAATGTACATGATATTTGAATTACATGGAAAAAAGAGCCCGTAAAGCAGTTTTAAGATCGGTCCATTTGAGTTCTGACTTGATGGCCCGACGACATTGGTATGCTTCTTGATGTCTCTGGACGAGTCTCATTTGTATAGCTGTTTGAAGTTGTTCGCAAAGACTTGATTGGTTAAGGCAATGTGTTTCAACCAGACGACTTCCTTCTTGTATGCTATCATCTAGAGCTTCCAATCGTTCTTGAAGTCGTCGAAGTTCTTCAGTCTTTTGGGAGATTTCAGTAGCTAATGTATGTCTTTCCCGCCGGAGCTCGTCCAGTCGGGCCCTAGCCATGCTGAGATCTTGGTCGGCCTTCTTCAAATCTGCTTCAATGTTGTTAGGATCTACGGCCGGACGAGATGAGGCCGCTTTGGGTGATGGGGGTCGGATCAGAGGAAGTTCAGCTTGAAGTTCGGTGATCCTGGCCATCATCCGATCGAGAATAGGTGAAGCTCCCGACTTCAAGGCAGGTTGAACCAATAGGGTTATTGCGACTTGGACTAGTGCCGAAAGGTCAGCCAGTTCTAAGTCAACAAAATCCAAATTGGCGCAGCGTTCCACAATGGTTCTGACGGGAGTCGGGAGGTTTATTCGGGTCAAAATGTTCATCTCCTTAGTAGCCTGAACCAGGATAAGATTAGCAAGCTAAAAGACATGGTAAAATTTTTTAGAGATAAGGGTGGAAGGTTACTTGATTCAGGGCAGCCGTAGCCTCAGAAGGGGCCATAAGTTGGAAAATTGAGGGGTTGACTGGACGAATAGTTGGACCAGCAATTGATTCATCCCCTGGTGGAAGATGTCGGGCAGTTGCTAATTCCATACCCTGAACAAAAGACAAAATTCTTCAGCACTGTTGGATGGGCAAAAATTAAATCAAAAATGGATAAGAAAGGGTACCAACCGGATCCAGCGGGGCAAAATTAACGGAGGCTTCACCCGACTTTGAAGAGGAAATTTCCTCTACATCGTGGGGTGGTTGGTCTGGTTGGACTGGTTCGGGAGTAGCAAGAGGAACCTCATCAACTTGTTGAACAAGTGGGTCGGGTAAAGCCACGACCTGGTCGGGTTCGGGCAATACCACATTTTCAATGGGTGCTTGGTCAAAATAGGTTTTAGGTATCAGGAGTTTTATCAAAAGGACAACATTAAAAAAGGGTTTAGCGCTTACTTGTTGTGGTTCTGCAATTTGGTCGGGGAGCACAACAGGTTGGTCGGGCATCACCGCGACCATATCCGACGCTGGGGGAGGAAGTAGCCTTCCCATTGATTCTTCTGGTCGGTGTGCCTACAATAAAAGGTTTGAAGTTAGTGTTTAAAATTAATATTTGTTGGTCTAAGGAATGTCAGAAACCATTTTTACCTCTGATTGTCTGGGAGTCGGTTGTGTGGTGGTCGGGACTATAGCTAATTGTTCTGTGGTCCGGACCATAGATGGTTGCTCTTTGGTCGGGGCGGCAGTTGATCGGGATGAGGATAGATTAATGGGAAGTTGTGCCTCGGGTGATTGATGATCGATCGGTTGAGACATGGTCGGACAAGTGGTCGATGGCAGTGAAGGATCTTCTAAAACAAATATATTGAAGTTAAAACGGGGGCAGTACGAAAATGACATAGTGAAAGGAACAAAACTTACCAAATTGTTGCCTTAAATACTTTGGCATCCCACTGGTGTCTATTGGCAGAGATGCCAAGTATTCCTTGATGGCCTGCCTGTCAATGGCAGGAGTGGTCTTTGTTTTTTGCCTTTTTGCTCCCGACCCACCTGCAACAGGTACTTGCCTTTTCCTTCCTCTAACTGCTAGTTGGGGAGAGCCAAGAGCCAGGGCTGGGGGTGGAGCAAGTTTCCCGACCAGTTCGTCAGTCGAAGGGGCTAGTAAAGACCAGGTGGCCGACCACCAGGCGGGAAAAGTTTCAGTTGTCGAGGTTTTTGGGCAGAAAGGTAGGTATGAATTAGAGGTGATATAGTTGGTGACTTGAGAAATATAGGTCGGGATGAGTTCGGGAATTACCAGACCCTCAGGGCTTTGAAATATGAGGTGAGGACTGGCTAATGGTCCTGGTATGCCCTGACAGCAACCAAATTGCCTCGACAAAAATTGAGGTTGGTAATTGTAAGTATAAAATGATCTACGATTTTTCTTATCCGACCTCCTACTGGAAAAAAGAGATCGTGGTTTCATCGCGGCGTCCCAGGAAAAAGTGTAGGTCGGGTGAGGGATAAGATCTGGGCGAGTTAAAGGATAAGTTGGGTCAGGATAAAGGAAGAAAAGATTGGTCGAATATTGCATTAAGGTTGTGTATACAAAAAAGCGGGAAATGTTCCGATCTTCGGTCAAAATTTGGGTTATTATAGAATCAGAGGATTTTAGACAAGAAGAATTTGGGGTTAATCTGGCTAAGGCATAGTCAATAGACCTATAAGGATTGGGAGAAATTGGGAGGCGACCCAAAAATGCAGAAGGGAAGTATAGACGGAGCCACAATTCCAAGAACCAAAATGGTCCTAAGGCTGCAGTGTCCGCCTTTTTAGTATCCGTAAGATGGGAACTTACTCGAGTTAAACCTTCAAAGAGGTTGGCTAAAAATAAGGTGCCTAATGAAGTGAAGTAGCCGCATGCCAAATGGATGGCTAGGTCAATGTGAGTAGAAAGAACAAGTTTCGAAGGGGAAAGAATGATATATCTGTGGAAAAAAAAAAAAAGAAAGAAATTTAAGCTCAAACATTCAAACTTTGGACATACAAAAGAAATTAAAAGGGAGAAGATATACCTGCAGAGCCAAAAAAGGAGAAAAGCAGTGTGCTCCAACTCGGAAACAGAGGTATCCTTCTTACCCTGATATTTGTTAATAAAGTATGTCCATCCTCTTTCTCTTTCAGGAAGCTTGGCCAGGGCCCAACCTTGATGGTTGGGGGGAAGTTCTTGATTTCCGAGAGAAACTAGAACGGGGTCTTCGCCTGTGATCGGCAAATGTGCGATCACTGCTACATCCATTAAGGTCGGTCCCATAGGACCTGAAGGGAGGAAAAAGGCACCCGTTTGCGAATGCCAAAAGGCTGCCATGGCCATCAAAACTTTATCGTGTAGATAGAGGGGTTGCGTTGAAAGGAGGATAGCTTTATCGATCCCTTGGGTTTTCAATTGGTTTTCAAAATGGGGAAGGAGCCTTGCGTACCATTTCCGATAAACATCTTTTGGATCAGTCAAGTGAGTCTTGATACTGTCCAGAAGGCGCTTTGGTTTGAACGCTTCATTGTTGACGATAATATGAGAAACTTGCACAATAACAGAGCTCATACGCTCAGCATCTGCAGTGGTAGTGCAGTAAGGGCGTTTTGTAGGGGTAAGAACCTTGGAAGACACAAGGGGTACTGAGGGTTCGGTTCCGTCGAAGGGAAGTGCAGGAACGTATTGGTTAGCCATTTACGCGGGAATGAGAAAGATAGAAAGGAAGTAAAATCAAAGGAGGAAGCTATATGGAGAACAGAAGGGGTTTTCAGAATTGTGAATGCGTGAGTTTGAGAAGATGAAGGTAGGGTTTTAACATAAACCCTTTGATTTGACGCATCACAGTGTGATGATCACACTGTAACCCTAAAACGTCACGTCTTCCGTAGTTCGAGGAGTGACGTTTCGGCGGGATGAGGCAAGTTGTTGAGCACAAAAAAATGATTGATAGGTTTTTAGGGAATGGGCCTGCCAAGATTAGGTTAAAATTTATTCGAAACGTCTAGTGGGCTTTTTGAAAGTCCAAGTATGATTACAATAACCGGGTCGGATGAGTTTAGGGTCAGATGTTAAGGTCAAACCTGGTTGGGTTAATCCCAAAGGTCGGACGGATGATGAGATTGGACCTGGTCGGGACCAAACAGTTCGGATATCGAAGTCGGACCTAGTCAGGACAAATTCCAAGGGTCGGGTGTAAGAAAGTCGAACGAATGATATTGGACCTGGTCGGGACTAAATAGTTTGGATAGTGAAGTCGGACCTAGTCGGGACAAATTCCAAGGGTTGGGTGTAAGAAGGTCGGACATTGAAGTCGGACCAAGTTCAAAGGTCAGGTAGTAAAAGTAGCTATCCTGCAGGTCGGGTGAAAAAGCAGTTTCTGATAGTGGAGGGTAGTTTCAACTGACGAACGGTTTTCAAAGGTCGGACGTGGTAGGACGGTTCTCATACGTGTCGATAGAAAAGAATTTTTTGGGGAATTAACAGCGGTTATGGTAACCGACCGGATAGCGGTTCGAACCGTATCTTCAAGGGGTTATTTAAAGATTCCGTGCTGTACAGAGGAGGGATCTTCAATCGACATCAAATTCAAGAAAATTGCTTTTGGGGATCACCACTTTATTTTTCAGTCTTTATTTTTATCTTTTCCTTATTTTATTTTATGTATTCTACAGTGATCTCTAATCTCATACTCCTATCTATCAAATTCGGGGATATTTCTCTATTTTCGAATTTTACACGCATCAACAGAAATATATCTAATTTTTATATTCATTTTTTCACAAAAAAATCAATAATCTAAAAAAACAATTATTTTTTATCTTACAATATAATTTCCACTCCTCAGTCACAGAATAAAATAAAATAAGAAAGTAGCAAAGAAACAAACTTATTATTCGTATAAATTAATCTAAATCAAAGTATGTGAAAGCCACAGCTTTCCAAAGTCCCAAAAAATAAAATAAAATAAAATAAAAATCCAATAACGAAGAAAGTGTCGCTCCATTCCATAGTCAAACGCTATTCTGGAGTCATTCAAACTGTCCGCCTCTACCGCCGCCGTGCCCTGGCTGTAGTAACATTTTCCAATTTCGCTGGATTTTGGCGATTAGGGCTTTACTGTCGACAAGCTTGTTCTTGATTGGCTAAAATAAGGAGCCTGCTTGATATTCGATGTTCTGGTTGGGAAGTAGTGTCATTGTCAACGAGTTTAATCATTTGTGCCCTAAAAATTTGAATATTTAGGGTTTTGTGTTTTGGTAGGAACTTTTATGATTCAATTTTATCATTGTAGTTGAGAATTCGAGTGCTTTTATACCCCTCTTACGTAGCTTCTCGCTTGTTTGATCTTCTGTTATTAAGCGGCCAGTAAATTTACGGAGTTAGCAATGGATCGGGTGCAGAATGCGTTTTCGGTGCTGGAGTTGGATGATAATGATGATGCAAATGGACAGAGTAGTGTCGCTACTGATGATGCTATTGATATCTCTGGAAGACGAGGTTTGATGCTTTTGATCTTCTTATTTATTCTCCCATGGAGAAAAGTTTGCGTTAGAGGAGCCGAAAATTGGCAGTCTTCAAATTTTATTCTTTATCCTGCGAGAATGTATGCAGCAATTTAAGTCATCTGCTTTGCCATGTGGCCATTTTAATTTTGATTTTATGTAATTTGTTGCTGAAGAACAACACAGAGATGATGCAGATGACGGAAAACAGGATGCTCTTGGAGATGGGACGTCGCTGCAAAATGAGATTGGGGAAGTACCAACCTCAGTACAGACGCCATTGGAGTACAGGATGCCACTTGTGTGGATTGACCTAGAAATGACAGGTGAGGTTTTGATGGTAGAATCTTAAAGTGGTTTGCTTTTTTTTCATTCATTTTGCAATATATACTTGAAATGATTGTGAGGATGTTTCCCAGCTATGATGTTAAAAAGCTTCAAATTTTGAGTGTGATTGCTTTGCAAGTTGAGGGAATCCTTCTTATTATTGTGGTTTTGGGACGTCTGCCGGACATTGTAAAATTGTGGTGAAAACTTGATTTATTTATGGTCTATATAGGCCTGAACATTGAAGTCGATAGGATTCTGGAGATCGCATGTGTCATTACAGATGGAAATTTAACGAAGTCAGTTGAGGTAAAGTCAGAGACCTGTTATTTACTTATTTACTTAAGCATTGCATTGGAAGATGATATTTTACTCTATTCACCAATTGTCATACTGAAAAAACTGTCCCCACAGTTATTGTTGTGTATTTGTTTGTGGTGTTGTCATTTTCCCGATTTCGTGGATGGATAGTTAATATTTCCATCTTGTTGTAGGGTCCTGATTTGGTTATTCATCAATCAAAGGAGTGTCTTGATAAAATGGGAGAATGGTGTCAAGAACATCATGGCGAAAGTGGTTTGTAACTTTAAGTTTTTCACTTTAAGCCATTGAAAGTGGTAGTGACCTTTTGTAATACAATTCATTGATGCTAAGCAATATTTCATCGGCGTTTAGGCTTGACAGAGAAGGTTCTTCAAAGTACACTGAGTGAACAAGAAGCTGAAAAGCAGGTAATTGCCACAGAACATAATCTAAATATATATTGCACTATAAAATATTTGAGCGGAGAATTTTTTCCCATGATCTCTCATTTTGCTTTAAACTATTAGGTTATGGAATTTGTTGAGAGACACGTGGGCGAATATAGACCACATATTGCTGGAAATTCTGTCTACATGGATCTTTTATTTTTGCGGGTAAGGAAACTTCAATTGCTTATTTTTATCATTCAAAATATACTTTCAACATTCGTGAGTTTGTTATCATTTATATAATTTATACAGCATAAGATTTCACAGTATTTGAATCTTACCCACCCTAATTTGGATTATATTAGAAAATCCATGCCAAAAAAGCAAATTATGCACAAGCAAACTGCAAGGGTAGTTAGAGATTTACTGAATAGGGATGTTTTCAATGTTTGTGCTGTTTCTTGGACTGACTAGAATTATGCTGTTTCTTGCACTACCGATGAGTAACAAATACCACACATGATGTATTTTGTCAAATGATGATGTTTCTGGTGGTGGTTCTAATATATTAGGATGTGTAACACTGGAATCTTGATATTAAATTATATCTTCATGAAATATTATGTATATTATTGTCAAATGATGCTCTGTTATGTATTGTTTTTACCTTTTCTTCTCATTCTCAACGTTTTATTTCTTATTGCAGAAATACATGCCTAATTTGGCTGCCCTTTTCTCCCATGTTATTGTTGATGTCAGCACTGTCAAGGCGTTATGCATCCGGTGGTACCCAAGAGGTGACGTGACCTCTTCAACAACAATTTTACAACTTTGTTCATAGACTATATTTTTCTACAAAATTACTAGCAGACATTGGCTACAGACATGGTTCCTACCTTAGAACATACAAATACATAACTTTGTTCAGAAATCTCTATTCCTTGAACCACCATTGTTGTGATATTTTCCTTGTGATCTGATGCTAGACAAGAAAAGGGCTCCTCAGAAGGAAAACAAGCACAGAGCCATGGATGACATCAAGGAAAGCATCGCTGAGCTTAAATTCTATAAAGAGCACATATTCAAATCCAAGTCGAGGAAATAATGTAGAGTGTGGCCACAGTAACCGTCACTGCCAAGCTAGCGTCAGGTACTACAGCTCCATGTAAAGATGCAACTTGTTTATTGTGGGTTATTACATGACATATGGATGTGCTCAATGGATTCATGAACTCTAAGCCCTGCATCGATGATTGAATGGAGCCGTAGTTGAGCCTTATTTTCGGATACAAATCTGGTTCTGATGTTTATATATACTCGGTTCTTTCATATATCTATGAAAATTTCCACTGTACGATTTGTTTAATTGTAGTTTGAAATTGATTTTATATAAGGTGTTGGATTAAATTTTTCGTTTTAATATTATTTTGACATGTTTTGTTTGAAAAAATAATATATTTTTATTATAACAGTAAATCGGCAGGTTGAATAGTGGTTATATATATATATATATATATATATGCTTTATTTGAAATTGAAAACGAACACCCTGTTCTTCATCCATATCAATCTCAGTCACTTTCTTGTGATTTATGTATCGACTCTGTTTGAATATAGTGCACCTTGTATCGTTTCTCTTTTGAAATTTGGGCTCGGTAAAATAATTCTTTTTTTATTATTATTATTCTTTTGCAAATTATCAAAACTAAAAACTTCATGTGTCTGGAATAATGTATTTCATGTAAGGACGTTTTTATTGATGTATGGAAACTATATTTACTAAATGAGAAATTTTGATATAATTGATGATAACTTGAATGGTAAAATGGAGGTTCTCGAGGAGCTATAGAACTAAATTTCAAATAAACAGATAGTTAAACTAATCTTCAAACAAATACTAATAAAAATCATAATCTTAAACTAATCATTTACCCCCTGACAAATATATATATATATATATATGTATATTCTTCCAAAAAACTGCATACAATAGCTATATTTTTATTAAAATATATAAAGAAATTCAGATCTACCAAATGGGCCTATTGGGCCCAAGAACAAGATCCTTTAAGGCCCAAAATTTCCCCTAATAATAACCTGAGCCCACAAAAGAGTATAAAATATGAAAGAAATATATTTATCAAATCCTATAATAAAATCATGGACACAAAAATCAGTGGCAATAAGGCATTGAGGCAATGTGTGGATAACAAAAGTTGTTCCTCCTCCTCCATTTGCAGGGTCTATCTTAGAAGAAGAAGTAGCAGCAGCAGCAGCAGCAGGCCAAGGCAAGAGACAAGATAGAATCTGTACAAAATGCTCTTAATTGACTAAACAGAGTTAGTTGAAAGCAGATTGATTCTTGAAGCTACAACCATGGCAGCAACTGGAGGATCCATAGCTGTTTGGAACTGCCCATCTTGTTCTTATTTCAGGCAGAAAGCCAGACCACCTCCAAAACCACTCACATTATCATCACTACAGGTACATAATATTATATTCTTGACACTAACTTCATTGTGCATCCAAAGATATAGTTAAACAACTTGTGCCATTTCTCACAGGTTTCCAATGTAATCTATCATCACAAGAGAAGCATATGCTGTTCAGCAATTCAAGAATCATCTACACCCACAGGTGATCTACCATGACTCTCTCTCTCTCGATATATAGATATATATAGATAGATAGATAGATAGATAGATAGATAGATAGGAAATGATTTTGGTCACACTAGTATATTTATGTATAGATATGTAGACATATATATATATATATGATGATTGTTAAATCAGTTGCTGCTGAAACAAAGGAGAAAAAGGAGGTGAAAAAGGCCAAGGAGGATGGCAGTGATGCTGCTGTTGCTAAGCCAAAACCTGCAGCAAAAGCTCCTGCAAAGCCTCTGCCTCAGATGATGGAAGAGGATGTGATCCCTACACTCAAATCGACGTTAGAAACGCAGCAAGACATCTCCGAGCTCAACCTCACCTACATTGATAATAAGGTTATATCCTAAACTTTGTGGATCATGGATATGCAAAAATGGCAAACAAGCTGAAATTTCAATGAATGACAGTTGGAAGGGTCATTTGTGAAGAAAGGAATTCCTTACACATTTTGGGCTTTCTTCCCCAATGGAACCATCAATGGTATGTTTAAAAAGGATAGGAGGATAAGCATGGTTTATCCGAGTGAGCAATTGTCGCTTACGAGGCAAATAATAATACGTACAAATTTGCTTGCAGGGCCAAAGGGGTTCTCGATATCATCGTATGGGTCGGGAGTGAGCACTGTGGAGCCATTCTTGGTGGATGAGAGGAAGCCCACAGCAAAGCACGTTGTATTCTGGGTTGAGAAGCGTTTGGCTGCTCAGGGAATCATCCCTGTTTGGAAAGATCAAGATTGAACCAACACTCACAATCGGATCATATTTGGAGCCTCCTAATCCCAAACAAACCATTTCTGTAAATCGTATATATACATGTTTGTTAGTATCAATATCCTCTTGTTCATGCTAAAGATTGAACTTATGGCCTCCTAGTATTCCCCTTTCCGACTGTATGAAGGGTTGGATTCTGTTTATACTGTCCAGCAGACACCAAAACTACGATTAAATTTTAAGTGGCTATGGCTCGCCACAGATGGGCCTCGGAAATGACAATATGTAACACAGCCAAGACAATGTTTTTATGCATGTAATAACACAGCATGGTAATAAGGATGCACAAAAGCACACAACTAGCAGCAGTATGCTAGGGATACTTCGGCTTCAATAAATAGCAATGGAACAAGAAAGATAATGAGCAAAAACATGAAGTTCAAATCTTATGGATCAAGGTGATCCCAGATTCACTGAACAAAAGTATGTTGCTTGAGGTGATTGGTTTAGGCATTCGGACCAGAATTTGCATTCTGCATTGCCTGCTGGAGTTCACTCAGGAAATCTCTCTGCAAGCCGGTAGACACCCCTGCAGGCTGCATCACCTGAAGAGAAGAAAATCAAACTAATTTAGTTCCAGTTTTGAGTTTAGATTAGATGTTAAGATTTCATAAATCAATGTAACATACCAAGTGCGGAAGATATGCTTGACCCCAAGCCGGTGTACCTTTTGCTGTATAAAGGACTGGTCTCTCTGATTAACACACATAACGAATTATATGAAATCACAGATTCCCCAAAAGAGATAAATTGTTTGTTTAACCTTTAATTAGAAAACTAAATTACTAGAAGAATGGTACCCAGATTTCAACCACCACAACTGGTCAAAGGTGGTTGACAAAGGTATTTAAAATGTGAACTATTTATCAAGACTTGCATACAAGCTTGAAGAAAATCTCAATTCTCAATCATTTCAATTCTAATTTCATGTTGGGGGCTGTGAGCCTGTGATTCACTCGCTGGAGTAAAACTTCCAAAGATAAGCTTACACTTTCTCATTCACAGGCATTCTGAATACATAATAACGCTACAGTGAAATCCATCCACTCAATATATAGACGACAATTTGAAATAGGTAACAGCATTTAGTAAATGTTCAACAGAAGAGAGAGAGAGAGAGAGAGAGAGAGAGAGAGAGAGAGAGAGAGAGAGAGAGAGAGAGAGAGAACAGAAAAGAGAGAGAAAAGGTACATTAACTCTTGGTGAAAATCATAGATCCCATGGTAGGAATGAGGAGCGTCTTAGAAATATGCACAGAACTTAGAAATACAATAAAAAGTGGTTCATAGGATGAATCACTAAAGCCAGAAGGGCGTCTCCTCGCTTCTTCAAGCATCGCATTTAGCAAAAAAGCTTACAATCAATTTATCGAATTAACCTACCAGGGTAAAATCACAATACTCAGATTTTCCAACTCTCTCTATCAAATTGAACACCATTCACTTAAATGTTCAAACCTCTGGGAACCAAGCTGGTAGAAGTGGTAAACACTGGGACAAGTCCTTGATCTCACCAAAAAGACATAAATCTAGTCAAAAGGATTAGTGGGAAGTCTTTGGACCATGAGGCCCGACCCAATTTGGGTCTCAACACAGAAAACTTCACCAATTATCAATAGAGAATAAAACCTCAAATAAGGCAACACAAAACCTTGCACACTATAGCTGAAGAGGGGCTGCACAAAAGCTATGCTGCAGTGAAAGAACGAAATCTTCATTTGCAGTCAGCAAAGAGTATGCAATGCAACAGAGGGGCGTGTGCTTGTTGACCACAATCGTGGTGGTTGTTAATGGGCTAATGTGGGTGGAGCTTCAGACAATGGTGAACAAGATTGTGGAGTTGAGAAAAAAGGACAATAATCAGGTAGGCAGTACTATAAGCTCCTGAAATATAAAGCAAAGCTTGGAATAGCTAATCAAACAAATGAACCCCGTACAAGCTACTACGACAATAGAGACACTACTATAATATTGTAACACACTTCAATCATTTAACAATAATGCTGAAGTGATCTACCTAGAAGTTCAGAGACGACCCAAAGTTAAGTAACCAAATATTTGAAAAATTTACCAGTAAACTTTTCTTAACTCACCAGCTGAATCTTCTGGCAAATTGTTGAGTGCATTCACAGCAGCTTCCCAACCTGGAATAGATAGGCACAGATAATCTTTTTTAAGACATTTAGCTATATGGTAAACAAAGGGAAATCCAAAGGATAATAATAAATAGATGGCAATAAAATGATAGCCGCCGCACATTTGGTATGACTAACTTATAAGAAAAATAAGACCCTTTTCAGTTTTCTTTGTGCGACTAGCCCTGACAGTTCATATGTACATAATATCTACACAGAGAGAGAGGAAAAATAAAAGGAAATTAGAGGCGAAGGACTTAGGTAAACCCGCAGACAGGTATTTGGGTTATCATTTTAGATAATCTAGATCACCTTCTTTTATATTGTCTCAACATATGGGCTCTTGAGCACAAATGTTCCAGAGATCTTAGCCATTGAGAAAGCCTTAGATTGTCCTATCAATGCTCAGGCCATACACCTTCCGTTGATTTGTTTTAAAAACGAATCTAAATACACCCTAAGTTGGATTCAAGGGACACCCCTGCCTTGGAAGCTAAATTCAAATATCAATAAAATTTGGTATCTTATCTCCAGATGCCCATCCATAACTTCTGACCCCACTCCTTGTTCCGCTGACCCAGCAGACTTTTTTGCAAAGTGTGGCGCTACAAGACAGGCCTATATCTTGGTTCGGTTGTGATCTAATCAGTATGTCCACTCTTTTCTCACTGTATCTATCATATTTCCCATTCACCTTAACTACAAAATGCACACTCTCTGTCTTTTACGAATGAAAATCACAATACATAAAACAAATGAAAACTAAATGCACAACCTGAAACTGCTAGAAACGTTTATATATACAAACTGGCATGGGGGATCCTTCCTAAAAGAATTGACTGCTTTTTCCTTACCAAAAAACCAAAGAAGGGAAGGAAGTTATGTCAGTGCATGACCAGACTGTAATCATATATTCACTGTGTAGTCTTACAATGGAAAGGGGGGCAAATCTTTTTGGTTAATAAATTTATATAATAGATCCCAGAACCATTGAATCAGAATCACAGTTCCAGAAATATACTGTAGTAAATGAAACATACGGTTGTTCAGTAGTTGAGAAGCTTCACTACTGTGACACCCTTGTAAAGGAATTAACTTTACGCGAAGACTTTCACCAGTGCGGTTGTTATAAGCAGAGTCCCCATGATCCGCTATTGGACCACTCTTGGGGGGCCCAATAGAATTCCTCTCCACATCATTTGCATAGCTACTAGCACGTTCCAGTCGTTCTGCACAATCAGTTCAACACATATACATTACAATCAGTAAAGTTAATGCACAAGATTGTTTTAGCAGTCAATGCAGAAAATTTCCTAATGCATGCCGAGCCACCAGCATTGACACTAATACAGCCTGGCATTCTTCCCCTATAGATTCATATCACATCAGGGCATTCATTCCATTATAGAGATAGAACACAATACCAGTACGTTTTTTGTAAAACACAAATCATTAATTATTGCAGTTCACCTTCGTGGAAAGACTGAAGGCAAGCATTGCATAAAAACAAGAAATATATGGTTTGTTTGTTTGATGATTCCAAATTTTTTGCAGCCCTTTTCGCACTATGCAGACACTTAGATCTCAAATTTACCATCTCATAGAAGAATAAAAATAAATAAATATATAATTTACTGTCTCAAATATTTCTCAATGTGAGATCTACTTACCATTATATATTTCTATCTCCTCAATAAAAATATAATTATATACATTCAAAACTTTCTATTGTTTATAAAATCGATTTATGTCAATTATATGTAGGTATATATATGTCTTTTATCATATACAATTTTATTCTGTACAAAATAACATTCGTATTTAGTAGATTTTATTAAAAAATAGTTCCTAAAATACTTCAACACACATTTTAAATAAATTTTTAATTAAATATATCACATCACATTCCAAAATCATTTAATTCAAAACCAAATTCCCCCAAAATCAAACTAATCCTTAATTCCAAACAAACACCTAGGTTTTTTTTTTTTTTTTTTGGGGGGGGGGGGGGGAGGAAATATTTTAGGTTATTGCCAATATAGTACTTCTCCATTCGCTCAAAAAGAAACCATTTTGTCTTTGGGGGTGGTCCAAACACAAAATATCCTCCTTTTTTTTAGTAAATATGAACCCTACCACCCATTACAAATTCCTTTGAGATTACTCTTATTTACATCAATACTATTATATCAATTAAGACACAAGAACAAAATAATATTGACATATAAAATATACTAGCAATTATTATTAAAAAATACTAATATTAAGTAAACTCCACACAGAAACTAAATGCTTATTTTTCTAGTGGAAGGGGGACATAATATACACGCAGTTTCAAGAAAATGCAAACGAATATAACATTGGCTTCTAGGCACCCATCCAGTTTGAACTACCAGAAAAGAAGACATGAACATACATCAAACGCGAAGTTTCCTCTCTCTCAACTTATTATATTTTTCTCAATTATGTTAGCGTTATCATCAACCTTCACCCATACCAACACATTCCCGCCCAATCAATTTCTCATCTCTACATCAAGCCCTTGCAGATAGAAAAGTATCCTTTTGGATGCAAGCTTCAGCCTCCCACTAATAAGATGATTAAAAACGAAAAGTTCATATTTTTGTTAAAGGACATTTATAGCATTTTATGAATCTCTCACGCAGGTATATCATTCTAACGCCTGGACCTTACTATGATTTCCACATTCTGTTGGAATGCATCTATGCACTGTACCACATAAAGCTCATGCCACACAAAATTAGCCAGATTTAAGTCTCCTGTTTTATTTTATATCTAAATACATCTATATAGCCACATACTTGCAAACTAAGGTTTCTATTGATAACCTCAAACAAAATATTCAATTATGGCCTATTGTTAAAGGATCCCAAGCACAACACAATAAGTGATGACAATGAAAACAGGAGTCAGTTCAGAGACAGAGAGCAGGCACTTCACTCCCTTCTTCTTCAGGACACTGTAAAATTTTTAATCACTTCTATAAACTAACGATATATTGACCGTACTATAGAATATCAAGAATTGCTTTTATGAATAATAATTGAAGAAAATCCATGTCGACCAACATAATCGAAGAAAAGAACAATCTTTGCATGTAAAGCATCTCAGGAATACATAAACGTCAGATTGGAACATGATAGGCAAATGTGTAATCAAGTTATGAAGAATAATTAATCATTCACGAAACAAACTCACCTCCTCCAGATTTACGTCTCCCCAGCGATCGATGCCTGCAACAACCCGTCAACCACTCACGCCGCACATCTCAGAAATCCCAAATTTAAAAAGTACAAAGAAAACACAATGAATCGAAAAATAGATCAGGATCGAGGCCAAAGCCAATACCGTTGGTTAGGAGGAGCGTAACGCTTGACGGCAGCAGCGCCGGCAGCGGAGGCAAGTGAATCGGAGCTAGAGTTTTCCAGCATTGTCAAATTTGAGTTCCTTCCCCCTTCACCACCACCTCCACTGGCAACCCCACCACGGCGCTATATATATAACCCTAAATCCTTTTCCTCAAAAGAAATCTACCCTACTTTGATCACTCGGGGGCGGGGCGGCAGAGGCAATGCGATTCTAATTGAAGAATACCGGGAGCAATCTGTTGGCTCTCTCCTGCAATAAGAACTCTTCCCCTCCAGGACAGACAGAACGGAGACAGGGAATTAGGAGAACGGAGAGAGGGAATTAGGGTTCGATTGGAATCGGAGGCAGACTGTATATGTATGCCCTTGTACAGAGGAGTTTCCAGTACACGCGCCTCTCCCGAGCGTGGGTAATGAGACTCTCCCCCCACGGCTGTATCTATATCATATCGTATCATCGTATATCATATCATATCACATCATATTATATCATATCATCTTATATCATATACTCCCTCTGTCCCCAATCCATCTATCCATTTGCTTTTTGCACAAAATTTTAGAAATATTAGTATTATATTGGGATAAATTAGAAATAAAAGTAAAAAGAATAAATTAACTCTATTAATATTGTATGATATAAAGGTAATGACATTTGTTTAATATATTGTAAACTAGAAGGGTATTTGTAATGTTAGGTAGATTATACAATTACTTAAAAAAAAGAAACGGATACTTTGTTATGGGACAGAACAAAATGAAAAAATAGATAGATTGTTAAGGGAGTATCATATATCATGTCATATATAATATTAATATGAATATATATAGCACAAACCACTTTAATTCGTGCACTCTCGTCATTTTGAAATTTTTTTATTTTTTAAATAATAAATTTGGATAATTAGTTAAAATTTCTTAGAATAACAATTAATTTAACAAAATTCAAATTTATCAAGATAATAAATAACAAAATATGTATAAAATTAGCTTTTTGTATATCTATATATAAGAGATTAAGCTAAAATTGCCCTAACAAAAAATATTATGAGATTTTCGTCCAACATTGCGCAGGTTCGGAAAAATTGAGATCCGATCAATCAGAAATTTTCAAGAAGTGTTCATAATTCGTTACTTTTCAAACGTTAGGATTATTGGTTGGATACATGTAGTTCGATCATAATGACAAAGTTTTTAGATTTGTTTTTTTTTATCTTTATTTTTCTTAAATACGTGGTTTTTGTTGGTTGACTTAACTATGATTGAGCATGTTTATATGTATTCTTAAAAACTTTTATATTTTATTTTTATTATTGTCAATTTTCTACTTCTGGTTTGGACAACACTTGATTTTTTATTATTTTATTTTTTTTCCTGAAGGGTTTTTATGTGATTATTTTTTTCGTATTTTATTTACGCATATGATTTGTTATCGTTCAAATGAATTGAATGATTTTCCACATAAAAAAAATATCATTATCTTTTTTATACATTATTTATGCATATAATTTTTATCTTTTCTTATACAGTGAAAATTTTATAATAAATTAAGATAAATTTTAGTAATTTATAAAAATTAGTATATTTTAATTTTAGTACTTTTATTTTTATTTTATATGCATTATTTTATTTGTTTTTTTTTATTTTTTACTTGTTGAAAAATTGAAATTATTATATTCAAATTTCATGTCTTATGTTGTTATCTAATATGATTTGTTAATAAATATTTTTATCCAACTTATATTTGATTTCATTTGAAATATAAATTTTGTAGTTTATAATTTTTTTTATTACTTAATATTCTCCAATATTTGTTAGTGTATTTGTTTTTTTGTTTTTTTGTTTTTTTTTTTTTTGTTGATATACTGTTTAAAGTTTCTTTTCAAATTGGGGATAAAAGAGAACATGCTATAAAAATAATCAAGATTTTTTTTTTATCGATAGATATGAATTTATTTTAAAATTTATTATAATTTTCATTTAATAAAATTGTAAATAAATATTTTAAATCTAATTTAGATTTGAATTTAAAATGATATATAAATTTTATTTGATTTATAATTTAATTAATATTATTTGTTTGTTTTTCTTTTCGTTACTATATATGTTATTTAGTATGTTGTTTGAACATTGTTCACTACTGAAAGCTAACAACTATATATAAATGACGACAATTTTTTTTCAAATTTATTTTGATATTTAATTTAAGAGTGATTATGAATAATTAATTTTTTTATCTCTATTATGTTTGACTTTAAATTGTAAAATATATTTATGAAATTTTCATTCGCTTACTTAATATTTTTTATTTGATTTAGTTACCGTATTTTTTATATGTAGTTTATTTTTTATATAAATTAATTTTGGCTATGTTCATACAAAATTTTATTATCAAAATAAAATTTATTATTTAAAATATAAAAATTAAATTAATATCACAATTTCTATAATTACCCGTGCATATCACGGGTAATAGATTAGTTTATATATATAGCACAAGGCACTTCAATTTGTGCACTCTCATAATTTTGATTTTTTTAATTTTTAAATAATTTTATTTTTTTTTTTTTGGATAAATTTGGAATTTTATTTTATTTTTAAATTAATAACGAACTCATCAAATAATATCTTATAAATCTTTTTAAATCATAACTAATCAAATCAATTTACCAATCACATTCTATATAATTATTTAATTCTATAAATATATATGATGTGCATGTTGATATCTATGTATATAATTATCTTAACATCTTTTCCGTATATTTTTGTTATTAAGATTCAATCATTATATATATATATAATTACATATACATATATTTTATTAATATTCCATATAGTTTTCAATTTTGCGTCTCATTACATTGTCTTCAACCTCGAGCATTATACTAATTTAGAAGGGAAAATTCGAGGGGAGGTTCAACATCATTAATCTCTAAGACTACAAAAGGTTAAAAGAGTAAAAAGGTATGTGAATACAAAATAATTATGTCAAATTTATGGGAAATCGTATAAATTATGATTTTTTTTATTATTATTTTTGAATTCCGTATAGTTTTTTCAATTTCGCGCCTCATTACATTGTTTTCAACCTCGAGCGTTACGCTAACTTAGAATGAGAAATTCGATGGGAGATTCAACATCATTAATTTGTAAGACTACAAAAAGTTAAAAGAGTTGGGAGGTATATGAATACAAAATAATTCTGTTAAATTTATGGAAAATCGTAGAAATTATGATTTTTTTTTATTTTTATTTTTGAATTCCGTATAATTTTCAATTTTGCATCTCATTAGATAGTCTTCAACCTCGAGTATTACGCTAACTTAGAAGGGGAAATTCGAGGGGAGATTCAACATCATTAATATTTACGACTACAAAAGGTTAAAAGAGTTAGAAGGTATGTGAATACAAAATGATTCTGTCAAATTTTTGGAAAATCGTATAAATTATGATTTTTTATTTTTTATTTTTGAATTCCGTATAGTTTTCAATTCCGCGTCTCATTACATTGTCTTCAATCTCGAGCATTACGCTAACTTAGAAGGGGAAATTCGATGGCAGATTCAACATTATTAATTTGTAAGATTACAAAAGTTTAAAAGAGTTAGAAGGTATGTGAATACAAACTAATTATGTCAAATTTATGGAAAATCGAATAAATTATGATTTTTTATTTTTTATTTTTGAATTCCGTATAGTTTTCAATTTTGCGTCTCATTACATTGTCTTCAACCTCGAGCATTACGCTAACTTAGAAGGGGAAATTCGATGGGAGATTCAGCATCATTAATTTGTAATATTACAAAAGTTTAAAAGAGTTAGAAAGTATGTGAATACAAAATAATTCTGTCAAATTTATGGAAAATCATAGAAACTATGATTTTTTATTTTTTATTTTTAAATTCATGTACTTTTGAAACTAGATTATTATGTTTTTCTTATGTATTTAATTTGTGTTTAGATGAATAAAACATTACTCGATTAAGACAGAAAAACAACTTCGTTTGAAGAGTAGACCAAATCAGAACTTGGATTTGATAATTAATGATATTGATGCGTAGTGTCAAAAACTTTGTCATATTTATGGATTTTCGAGTCAACCTCTTATATATCAAACTACACGCACCAGAAGAAAATATACTTGAAGAAAAAGAAGTAGACAAATAAACTATACCTATGTTTCAAACAATATATAAATATTTTATTATATATATTTTAAATAATTTTATTTTTATTGATTATGAAATGAAAATTCGTTCATAAATATTCTTTTGCCAAATTCTGTTGAATTTAAATGCCCGATCCTTTAAAGCGGAAGCGTACCTGATGAAGCCATATATAAATCTTGGGTGATTAAAGGTTTGGTCTTCCAAGATCAGAGAGTCGGCTTCCTTTCTGTCCTTGACGGGTGAGGAGCAGAAACTGCAGGGAGAATCAGATCTCTTTTACGGCGTGCTGATCCTGGAGACCTAACCCTAGCCTATTTATAATAGGGCAAACATAATTGCAATTACAATTATGCCCTTAATTAATATTATTAATTTGTCACGTCACCAAAATAATAATATTATACGGGTAGCTGTACTTTTATTCCATAACAATCAAACCTATCAGTCAATAATTAGTTATATTAATTAGACCACTTAAATAATATGACTGGATAAAATAATGACTTTAACAATATATTCGATACACATATTTGATCTCAAATCCAACAATCTCCCACTGGATCTAGTATGTGTCTGAATGAACATGTTGTTCCTTATGAGCTCAATTTTCAGTCATTATAAAACAAGGCTTGCAACAATCTGGTCCATCAATCACAGCAATATAGGACTAAAGAAGCATTCGCTGTATCAACAGTTAAACTCACAGTAATCACGAATATCAGTGTAATCAAATGACATAGATCAATCATGGAACGTGCAGAGAGAAAATTACATAAGTGTGATATGAATATGTCAATTTTCTACTGGTCCAAACTAAATGAGATCGTAAATTACTTAATCATAATGTCCAAAACATCATAACCGAAATAATGATCAAAAGAGTATAAAACAAATATCAAGTGAACGACAAAAGAATATAAATGCATACTCCCACTACAGTGAAGCTTCTTCAAATTGTAACACACCCATATGAGCAGTATGCTCATGGAAGACCTTAGGCGTTACACCTTTAGTTAAGGGGTCTGCTAACATGGATTTTGTCCCTAAGTGCTCGATCGAAATCTGATGATCTATCACTCTCTCCTTCACAACTAGGAACTTAATGTCAATATGCTTTGACCTGGACGAGCTCCTATTGTTATTGAAGTATTCAACCGCTGAATTGTTGTCACAGAAAATCTTGATGGATTTTTCAACCATCGGAATGATTCACAACCCAGCG